GAGATGGAAGGTGTGCCTTGTGAAGGGAATCTGGGCCCTTTCCTTCCTTGTAAGCCATGCAACCCATGTTGCTCTCTTCTGTGTTCTTCCCTGTGTGCCCTAGGATGAGGAGGGGGTGGGCCTTGGTCTGAACCCCCTCTCCCTTGTTCTACCTCTCCCCCGCTCTGCCCAGCCTGACTTTGCCCTTCCCCAGTTTCCTCCACTGCCAACGGAGCCAACTCTCCTGCTCTCTGACAGCTGTTCACCTTCCATCTCAGATTCAGACTCCGATGGGGGCATAGGGCATAACACTATGATTCCTTTCCCCAATTGAAACCACTAGGTTATCATATCTCTGTTAACCTTAACAAACTTAATCTTAATAGTTCATTCGAATTTCAAATTGTTAAGCCTGGAATTGGAGGGTCATTTATATCCTCAGTTTCCATATTTCCCAAAATAGTCCAGTTCTTCTTCAAGGGAATGTCATTTGTTGTCAACACATAAAATTGTTGATTTAGGAGGGAAAATTCTTAGGATAGGTTTACTCCAGTTCAATCAGCAAAGCTTTAAGCATACAGTGGGGTCCTAATGACAGTCATGAAATGACTTCATTGTAGGGGCTTCATTTGGAGGAATTGAGCCATTGTCTACAGAAGAATTAGGAGAGGGTCTAATTGGAGAGGGGGACAAATTTGTGATCTTGGCTTGGCTTCATCCTTCTTTATAATCTTTTGCTATTCCCGTCTATGGCTCTAGTTGATGATAGCTACCTCTTGGGAGGACCATTTCAAGTTTTAAAATAATAATAATAATAATAAAAGCTCTCCTCATCATCATTTTTTTCAATCATTTTTCTATCGTCTTGGTAACTACTCTCAACTCTAGAAACTGGCTGCCTGTATTATGATTGGTGAGAGAGTCAAGTAAGTTTTGTGACATGTTTGGAATTCTACCTTTAGTTCTCCTTTTTGGTCATTTACATACATCACTTAGCTTGTCACAGTCAAACCACAGTTGATATTAATACTGTGTGTTATAAATAAATTAAAAAAAATCCTACCCAATGTTTATAGTATAACATTTTAATTTTTCAAACTTTGTGCAGCCTCCTCTATGAAAGTCCTTTCTTTGTTCTGTCTGAGGATCTGCATTTATGTCTTATATATAAAGGTTATCATGATGATTTCTAGCACTGGGCACATATGGAAAGATGATACAAGCAATCCCTTTCCCAATCAACAAAACAACAAAACAGCAGGGGGTTGGACTCAAAGACCTCCAAGGTCCCTTCCGTTATTCTATTCTAACACAGTTAATGGGATCACTCAATGACTTTCAAACTGTAGGTGAAGAACTATTCACTCTGGCTGCAATTCTGTTCAATGGGCTTTAAGCAGCTAACTATTTACATCTCCACAATCTTTTTGTATTTCAGTTTATTGTGCAATGAAAGACTTCCTACTGTATTTTTAATAAATAATAAAATAAAGTGGATTGCTCAAGACTGATAAACAGGGCTGCTACTGTGGTTCATTTCTCTTTAATCATAATCTTCATAGGTTAATCTTTTTTTACCCTTGCTTCTTTTATGCACACTTGTATTAAACTGAAATTTTAACACACTAATTAATTTTTGTATTCAGCTGTGCAATATTTTAAACTAATGGCATGATCTTCAGTAGAATTTTAATCATAAACTTTCTACTCTAGATTTATAGTCATTTTATATTCATAGCTATTTTATATTCATGGAAACATATTTTTTCCATTGCTTTTGATATACTGATGTTATGCTCATTCACAGATATGGATGTGTCTTTAATACATCTCTTTAATATAATCCAGATATCCTTATGATTCAGACATATTTTAGTGGCTTTTTCCATTTGCATTATAAGCTTTAGGAGAGCAGGGAATAAATACAAACAAAACTTTTCACACAGAATATCTATAGAATGTATGGATTCTATGAATGCACACTTCAGGTTCATCTGATGATTCTGCACAGAAAGAATCTGTTATTTTTTTCGGGCCTTTTAATTTCTTGTACACTTTTTTGTTCTTTGTATAGTTGTGTTTTAGAACTCTTTTAACTCCAAATTGCATTTAAATTTCTTAGAGGTTTTAATCCCTTTCATATTTTTTACATATAAATAGTTAAGTACTTTTGAATTCTAACAAAAGGTAAGCTCGTGGGCTGGATGAATAAATTAAAGATCACATTTATAACCTCCAATTCTAATTTAAAATAAATTATATACATGACTTTTCTTAACATGCATGTAAATTTTATATCTGCGTGATTTGTACAGTGTACATATAAATAATATAATAGCAAAACCCCATGAAGTTCTCTTATATTTATTTAAGCAAAACATCTGTATTTTAATTTCAGTTCTGTAATGCTGTGAAGACTAGTTTAGACAGAGACATATTTGCTTACATTAAGACTATAATGCCATATAAAACAAATGGGCTATTTGATTTTTCATTCATCTACTTTCCCACACCTAATTTTTTGTTTGTTCATATTTGCATTGCAACATTTAACTGTACCTCAGTCATACTTTCTTTCATTCAAAACCTGATCAGCCACCCAGCACCATTCATGCACAGCTTAAATATACGTAGCAATCTTTCAGCAGTCCTTATTCCCACCTATCAAATGGTTTCTTCAGATGAGAAATCCAAGTAGCCAGCAGGACCGCTTTATGTGAAAAACCTAGATGTGGACAGTGTTCAAAGTCTTCAGAGGTGAAGCAGCCTTCAGTATCTTCGGATGGAGTTTGCCTTATCTCAGTACCTACTGTCTTTCCTCTGTTCTATTCTACGAAGGCAATCAAAACATGCATGTAAACACTTGTGTCATACACATGGCAGTTCTCAAGATGCCAAGCCTTCTTACAGCCTTCTGGGGGATGCATACTCAGAATCCTTACAAAACGTTGTAACATGTTTATCTTAATACCTTGTGTACCTCTTTTTATGGACTCAGCATGACTAAATCCCAAGTAGGGTCAGGAAAGGACTGACCAGGAAGAGGCAAGCACATCAGTGCTTACTGCCAGTCTACTAAATGTTTGTCTCTTGCACTACCAAGCAGAGGGACAATTGCTACCAACCTGATTCTGGCCCAAAGTATGAGACCAGGTATGCGATTATCCAATGTTATGAAAAATCATAACATTTTAGATCTGGAATAATTTTTTTCAGTTCATTTGGTACAGACCCAGGGCAAGGGGGAAATGATTAAACCCTTAACAGATTGCCATTCAGCACTTTCAAGCAAAGGAGAACCTATCATCTTTGGAGGCAAGTTTGTTCCACTGTTGAATAACTTATATCGTTAAGCAATTTCTCCATATATTCAGCAAAGTCTGTTTTCCTAAATTTCAATCCTGCAATTCAAATAGCTAAATGATATTACTATATGATAACCCCTGTCTACTGCTGGGGTGCATAAGAGCTTTCTGCATCAGATACATTCTCTTCTCAATCCCACCCTGGATTAATATATATATATTATATATATATATTACACACACACACATAAACAATCATTTGGCCCTTTCATTCACTACTCTATTTGTTATTTAAGTATCTATTGCCTTGCTAGCTGCTGGGAACTACAGTTCAGCATTTATAAATGCTGCCCTTAATTGCAAATTAGCATGCTTATATACTTTTAGTCATTAAAGGCACAAGTATAGATTTAATTTGGGGCGTTTTCTCATAGTGGCCAATACGATGCCCCCAATGTTCAGTTTACAATTAACTCGGCAAGAGAGTGACATAACTGTATTCTCCTCCCGCCGTTATTCCCATGCAACTGATATTTAACCTACAGGTAATATTGAATTTTCATGAATTTATCCAATTCCTTTTTTAAAACCATCCCTGAATTATTTATGGTGCGTTGAAGAAGTGCTTTCTTTAGTCTATTCAAAACCGCCTCCCGTCATTCACTTTTCATTAGTATCGGTGATGGATAATGTGACAGTATAGCAAACAAAATGCCGTGAGACTCTTCTCAGATACCTCAGATAGGTCGGGAGGACGAGAAGAGTGCCAGCCGGGAAAAGACTTCTCGCAGTGAAAAGAACCCCACCACCCTCAATAAAGTTAGACGAAACTTTCACATATCCCTCCGCTTCCCCCCATTCTGTTGCTCTCGCCCCAAATCGCTAGCTTTCCCACTGCCGTCAAAATCCTACCCGGCCGCCTGATGAAGAAAGAAGGACAAGCGCGCTAGCAGCCTCGGCGGGCCGTTCCCGTGCCGGCGGCGAGAGCTGCTCTGCCGAGACGGGCAAAGTAGAGGCTCTTTCCGCAGCTTCTGGCGCCCGGGAGAAGAGTTTGGCGTCCCTCTCGCCCAGCAGCAGCAGCAGCAGCAACCGGAGTGGAAGGAAAGTCGACGCCAAGAGTTCCTCGCCGCCCGTTCCCGCCACTTTAATAAAGGGCGGGCTGCGATGGATTGGAGAGCGCCGGTAGTGGGTGGAGGAGAAAGGGAGGAAGGGCCCACCGAAGGCAACCTCTTCTCGATCCGCACGCCCACGCCCACCGTTGCACAAGTCTCTCCACTGGTTCGCACGCACCTATATTGATAACACGCAACCAATCCCGTAGATGTCATCATACCTACCAAATAACGATGCACGCATGCATATATCCCCACCTCTCCTAATGCGTTGCCTCCACAGCACCGTCTCCCCTATGCCCACCCGTTGGCTGGAGGTTTACCTTTGCAGGAAAATGGCCATGTGAGCCCTTCACCTGCCAAGTCTTACTTAATCCATCTGGATTTCAAACATATTTAGACACAGATCATTTTGGAGTTCATATCTATTACCACAGGGGTTTTGTTTTTTTTGTCATCACTCATATTCAAGATGTCAGTAATACACAGCAGTGGCAGCAGAATTCTTTATTTTATTTTAATTTAATTTATTTCGTCAAGCATGAATTAGATAACAGATATGTATAAACGTGATCATGAATAGATGAAATGAATACAAATACAAAGGAATATTAGCACAGGGGCAGTATACACATTAATGCGCTTATGCATGTCCCTTAAAGACCTCTTAGGAATGGGGTGAGGTCCATAGTAGACAGTCTAAGGTTAAAGTTTTGTGGATTTGTGGAAGAAACCACAGTGTCAGGTAGTGCATTCCAGGCATTGACCACTCTGTTACTGAAGTCGTATTTTCTACAATCAAGTTTGGAGCGGTTTACCTTAAGTTTGTATCTATTGTCTATTATATATGTATTTTTCTTCTCTAAATAACTTGTCTGAAGGGTCCCTCAAACTAAGTTGTCCTCCGTAGAAGTCGCCTTTGGATGCACAATCTGGCAAAAAGTATTATAAAACACTGACCTACCTACAGCACTAGCTTTAAAATATCTCTTTCCTGTCGGTATCATTTTCAATGATTAAGACAGCTGAACGTACACTGAAGTACCACTGTGATCAGCAGAAGATGGACCCAGTCCCATCCGTATGATGCCTAAACAATGCAAAATAATTTTATAATATATGAGATATGGATCTTCAATATTTGTGTTCTGGTTTTCTTTACTGTATTGAAGTGATGTTTGAATGATAAAATGGATCTTCTTGTAGTTTTTGTACAATAGGTGATTGTATTGGTAGGGACTACATCTGTAGGATATAAAAGTCTTAGCCCTGCCTTATGATTGGAAAAGTAGAATTAATCTTTTTCTGTTGGTTCTAACTCCTTGAGGCCAGCATGATGCCTTATGGTAAGTCCAAATGTTGATCTGTCACAAACAGCAGCAAGTTCTGTTATCAATTTATTGGCTTCCAAGAAGCAGATGAAACTACAACTTCTACTTTCAAATAGTCCTAGAAATGTATTACCTTGCATTTCCCTTCTGCTTTATTAGTATGCAGCATGAGGATACAAAAATTAGGATGGCAATACAGACACCGAATTAATTTTCACCAAGCTAATCTGCTCTCAATGCAATATGGATCTTGGTCAGACAATCTTGGTCAGACAAGTGGTGAAGTCTTCTGTTGCATCAATTATTAAAGGATGATATGATAACATTTAAAGTGGGAAATATACAAATCCAGATGCATTTTTTAATAGATGAAGACAGTGAAGATTGCTGAATTACAATCAAAGTGTTTAGAAATGCTTGCACCATTTCATTAATAGACATGCATTGTTTACCTGTCCATCACATTTCCAAGTTTTATAATGTACCTGTTACTCTGACAGAGTCTCTCTGTGTGTCATTCACTTACGGTACATATTGTTCTTCAGTATACTTACTCATGCTTTCACTATTATATGCCTGTCATGCAGAAAAATTAGTATCTTGTTTTTCAATATTCATATTCTTTCATTCACTCATCCTGAAAGCCAATTGCCTCCATTTTGGATGGAGATATTTGGGCACTTTTCCTTGGTAAAGCACACAACCCTTATTTTGTGTACATAATACATACAGTTGGAACTTGAATGCAAGCATTGTAAAATATGTGATACAACTCTTTTACACAAAGGTAGTGAGAACCCACTCACACACCCCCCCCAAAAAAACTGTTCCTTGGTCAACTGTTCATATTAAGATATTTCTCCAAGCATTCAACTGTATCCACCTTTCTAGAATTGGATCCCATAAGACCTTCTATGACAGCAGCTCCTTTCCTTTCCTATGTAGCAGCCCTCTGGGTATTTGAAGGAAACTGGAGATGAGAGTGACACTGGGAGGTCAAAAACCATCCTGCAAAAAGATAATGGGAAACCACTTCTTTATAACATCAAGAACATAGCACAGTGTACTATGTAAGCAACCAAGACTCAAGCACAGTTTGAAGACAAAACCTCAATAGGTAGCAGTACCTATCTGACCTTGGCTGACCTTAGTTCTGCACAGTTGGTCCATGGATGGCAAATATCTGACAATCCTGAGATTCTTGGCTAGACTAGGAAGTTTAAAAAGAGCATCCTGCAAGAAAGAACCACATACCAGTCACCAGGAACTAAAAGCATATTTAACTTTTATCATAACTACTTACTGACTTCAATTCTCCCAGCTCTAGAAGATAGCTATATTAATTTCTCCTAGCAAGCCAACAAATAACCTCTTATGATTTCTTCAGGACAAATATACGTTTTTAGAGATCATAGTCACTATATTCTTTGACAGCATTCCCACAGTCACATAATCAAAGTTGTGGTGCTTGGCAACCAACGTGTATTTACAACAGTTGTAGAATCTGGGGTCATCTGATCATCATTTGCGACCTTCCCAATTGGCTTCCAAAAAGCAAAGTCAATGGGAGAAATCAGATTTACTTAACAACTGTATCATTCATTTATAAACC